TCAAAATTCATTTTTTTTCTAGTCTTCCTTTTGTGTGAATTATTTTGTCGTAAGTAGCATCATGCCCTCCTCAAGCCAAAAACTCAAAGAAACACCAAGAAGAAACGTGTCCATTGCTATATTGATAAATCACAAGCAAGAAGAGAAGATGACAATTCTAGAAAAGAATATAATTCAGCCTTGCTAGATGGAATCAAGCCTACTAAAGAGTCACAAACCTTATCATCAAATTTATCAAGCCTCCCTCAAATATTTCTTCATCCAAATACCAGATACATCCTTCCCAAACCTAATAAGAGAGTTCTACTTAAACCTAATTCTTGTAGGAACCTCACTAAGAACATCTATTAGGGGAGTGGAAATAGACCTTCACAAAGAAACCTTTAGGAGCTTAAGGTTGAGACCCTTAGGCCTCAGGTACTTAAAACACTCAATAGCCATAAAAACCTCGTCATAAATCCCATGGAGAAAAAGAGAATTCCCTTCATATAAAATAACCTAAAACCAAAGGTTGAGATCCTACATTACCTTATTATTAGAATCCTATTTCCAAGAAAAAACCACACCTTCGTTCCTAGGGAAGATATAGTACCACTCTAACTCTTGACCAAAGAAATTCCAACAAATTGGGTAGAAGTAATTTTTAATCACATGATTCGATGCAAAGAGATCCCATTAGTAGGAATTCTTATGGACCATTTATCATAAGACTTCCTCATATTCTCTTTGATGTGCAATTTCATATTGTCATCAGCTTTGAAGAATCACTCTTAATTCAATTCTCATTAGTTCATGATAGATATATTCAATTTACCATCCTTCATCATATCATCATCACAAACTATGGCCTTTTCCACTTCTTGTAAATCTCATCAGTTTGTATGAGTATATCAAGTTTAATCTTATTTGAAATTAAATAAGTAGATGGAAGACCATACATCTTCTTAAGTGTAAAACCACACTTTGAGCTATTTGGACTTATTTTATCCGCTCGATAAGTTTCATTATAAATGAAATTCAATCTTACTCGAGACATATTGCCTACCAACTCTGAATAAATATTTTTGTCTTTAAATCTATGTTCTAATACTGTAATATTGCGACCAAATGATGTTTGTATCTTGTTATGCTGATTTTGGATAACCTGGTTCACAAAATCTCAACCTCTACATAAATCACCTTTACTATTTTCCAACAAATTCTTCAATGTAGCATGAGCATATTCAAATCTGTTAATTTTTGTATTTATAAAGTGTCTAACTTAATTGGTCAAAGCACAAACAATCTTCTCCTTTACCTATCTAGAATTGTACTTTCAATACATTTCAAGAAATATGGATATTTCTCATACACTCTCCTGAAATGTATTACAAATTCATAATATAACTCTTCCACATAAGAATTTATTATAACATTTCATATATTTATTATGCTTTCTAATATCACACCAACTTTGACTATTTTCCCATCTCCACTCTTGATTTTTTTGGTCCCTACTGCAGGCTTAAGTCTACTTCTCACATTATTTGTTACGTGATACCTATTAAGTAATGCATATGATGTAGAAATACCTTTTTATTCAAATTCATCAGTGTTGTATTATGATTTGTGACAACTACTTGTGGCATATTTTCTTGGTCCTTTAATATAGTCTGACACACTTCTAAAACTCAAGTAACATTGTCCTCTTTTTCACTTTCCAAAATTGCAAACTCAACTGGAAAAGTTATATCTGTAGAAGTAACGCCAATAATTTTCAAAAGTGGAATCGAGTACTTGTCGGTCTTACATGTTGAATCAATTATCTGCATAGTAGGAAATTTGTTGAATAACTTGGTGAATCAGGATGAGTCCAAAAAATATCTCAAACCATTTCTCCATCCTCACACACTATGTACCTAGATACATAATGATCATCATTCAAAAGTTCCAATAGTAGTTTCGTTTTAGTTCTTGAACCTCTTTATTGCCTTGTTATTTCGGGCATGAACAATGTGTACTTGCTTAATATTTGAGACATTATGAGGTCTTTTCTGTTTCAAAGTTGCAAATAAGTTTTTGGGTTTCGCCATGTTCAATGACATGTCAGAACAAGATCATTCTCTTCAAAATTAAAGCGACATACAATGGGATGATCGACTAAATTGTAACACAAATCAAGATCATGTATACTACAAACCACATTAAATGTTTGTGTATTATTCTCCTTAAGGTATCCGTGCAACTTAAAATGACACTCAGATTTTCTTGAACTGGTGTCTTTTCATTTCAACTTTCGCATAGGTTTTATGTACTTGTCACTTCTTTCACATCTCATTATCACAAATGTTGATCTTCTATCACAACCAGAATCTGACCTCCTGATTACAATGTTGAATCCCAATTTTGTAGCCTCTGTGTAGGTCTATTAGAATATATATTCACAAACAACAAACTCTTGTTTATTTGTAAATTATTTACCAACATCTACCTCGAAATCAAATAGTTTAGCATCCATAGATATAATAGATTTGGGTACAGCGTCAGGGTGCACCGTAACTACAACCAATCATTACAAAATTCAACATAAAATTATCCAAAAATAAACTTCTGGAACAACATGCAACATATCTGAAAGTTATAATCCAGATGCAACATTCATTTTTAAATAGCTCAACCAGATTCTTACAAGCAACGAGGAAGAAAATACAAGAAATACATGTATGTTAGCTTAAATTCTCACTTTTGCTCCATTTGATGTGAGCAAACAGAAGAATGTGATTTTGAAGTACAAAACTTGATTGAGAATGAAAAGAGATTTTTGTTAGGTTTTGAAAGTATATTGGTATGATCATGAAATGAAGAGTGCATGCTTAGTGGTGTTATATTCATTTTTCCGCTTGATAATTCTAGAAGTTAACTTTCATATTATCCACTGATAGTAGGAAAATAAACACACTATCATGAGTTTAAAATGTGTTCAGGAGTTAGTCTAGAACTTAACCTACAGACTCACCATTCCATCAATATGGAAGTTAATTTTCATATTATTTTCAAACAAAATTGAGGTGACTCACTTACGAAGTGTTTTGGAGTGAATTAGAGGCATCCAGAAGTTAACTTTCATATTATTCCAAGAACGTTTTTGGGTTTTCTAAGAGTGACTCTTCACGACTAAAAGTGGAAAACTATGAGTGAGAAGAACAAATCTTTTTTTACTTTCAAAACAACTTAGGTAGATACCTTAATATATAAGCATGTGTTTTGAATTCAATCTTCCATTAAATTTTAAACTTTTGAAAAATTTTGGAGCTAAAGCCCTAGTTTGTAGCTATAGGATTGGATCGACTCGTATTGTTTGAAAAAAAAATTTTAAAATAAAAAAATTGCAATTAAATCAGTTGATAAAACTGCAAATAAAAATCTAAAAAAACGAAAGAAAATAAAAAGTAGATAGGATGACTTATTATGTATTAGTTGAGTTAAACGAGATATTAATGTAAATAAGTTATTAAAGTAAATAAAAGAAATTATAGATAAATTCACAATTAACATCTTTAAAATATTTAAAAATTGTTTTATTTATTTATTAAGTTAATAAAAAATATTTTTAAAAATATTTTAATATTTATTATGAACTATATTAAACATCAAATTAACCATAATATAAAAAAAGAACTAGTATTTTTACTATAATTAAAAACTTAAAAAAAACTGTTCATTTTTTAAAATAAATATTTGAATTAGATAATATTATTTATTACAATATTAGTTCATAGTATCCTTGATTTATGAATATGGTTAGAATTTTAAACTATAGTATTCAAATTATCTTAAATTAATTCTTTATATATTCTAATTACTTTAATATTTAATATAGAGCATAATTTATAAATATTAGAATATATTTTAAAAATAATATTTTTTATTGATACATAACAAATAAAAGAGTTAATGTGGTTCAGCTATAAGCATATGCATTAGAAGAAATCAGAAGAAAGTTACCAAACAAGATGTGTCCAAAAGGTTCTTTGAAAAAATAATATTTTTTTTTATGAAAACCTTGAAAAATACATGAATGTATTGGGAATCCCCTTTTATTTTTATCTTTATTATTTTCGTAATATAACTATTATTTGAGCAAGAAAATAATAAATGGAAGGGTAGATTTGAGCAACATGACCCATTGTAGTCCTTTGGGTCAATCATCGCTATCTTCACCTATTACATTAGTAGCTCATTCACCAATTAAAAACAATTAACACCAGCACCAACTAAATTATCATCGTTACCAAAATCAATTTATTGTTGCTATGAAGCTTGTTGTTGGTTCTGAAAGCATGGACAAGGACAGCTACCGTGGTTAAAATCATGATTTAAAAATTTAAACTTTATAGATTTTATATTTTTATATCAGTATTTTGTGTTAAATAGCAGGTACAAAAATTGTATCTTGTAAAGATTTTAAGCGATTTAAATTACTTTAAAATCAATAAAATTGTGTAAATTCGTAAGATTTTACTCTTTGAATACACTTTTTATAATTTCATAGGTAATTGATGTATCTCGATACAAATTTTATAATCCTTTTACATGTTACTTATTATGATTTAGTGGATAATTGATGTGATTATATTTTAAATTATCGATTCATTTTCAATATTATATAACTATATGTATATGTCCTGTATAAAATTTTAATATTATTTTAATATGAAATAAACTATATAATTTTACATTATCAAAACAAAACGAGCCAAGATAAAAATTCGATTTTATCAGACTTGAATACAATAAAAGAATATTAAAATAATGCTAATTTTTGCAACCAAAATAAGTAGAATAAGTCATAGGATAAGAGCATCAATTTTGTATTGATTTTACTGCGGTGACAAGTGCACACTAAGTATATTACAGGAATGTTATTATCAACAAATATAGGAGAAGCCAACCCTACACACTTCCTTAACTGCCACAAAAAAAAAACAATGGAGGCAAATTCTACACAAAGGAATTATCAGCTAATAAGCAGTTTCAAATCTAAGATATCCCCAAATATTCATAAACAATACTGACGAGACCAGTACACCTGCAGATACTGCAAGAACAGCAAACCACTTGGACCGATTCGTGGATGGCTTTGATGTGTTATGGGCCCTTCTGCCCATTAGAAAGTCTTTCCACCCCAAGGTGGATTCTGTCGGAGATGTCTTCTCTGGTTTATCTACATAGTTAGTGTCGGAAATACTCGCAACAGCAGCAAGGTTTTCTGATGCTTCCCTCTCCTGCAAAATAGATGATTTGCTGGCAATGATGGTTTCTGAGTTATGGTTTTCAGGTGCACAGCTCACATCTTTTGACGTCTCCTGGGAACCAAGGGAACGCATCACAAATCCTCCCAATCGTATTCTCCTCGGTGCACTACCTTGTGCTTGCATCACTGGATTCATGTTTGGCTGTTCATTTCTTCCTTGTCGAGACCTTATCCTGATACCAGTGTCCCCATTGACAACAGGATCCAAATTCCTTGATTGCTCATATTCTGCTGTACAACTCTCATCTTCTGTCGTCTCCTCAGAAAGAAGGGAATGTGTCGGGGAATTTGTCATCTCCTCAGAACCAAGGGAATTTGTCGTCTCCTCAGAACCAAGGGAATGTTTCACAAACCCTCCCAATCGTATTCTCCTTGGGGCACTACCTTGTGCTTGCATCACTGGGTTCATGTTTGGCTGTTCATTTTGTCCTTGTCGACTTCTTATTCGGATTCCAGTGTTGTCGCCATGGACAACGGCGTCCAAATTCCCTGATTGCTGATAGTCATTGGTGACAGTGGGTGTTTGGCCCATATTAAAATCAGTTGAAAATGTCATATGGGAATTGTTCTGAAACGATCCTACATTGCTATTTTGCAGAATAGCCCCCCCGGGATAAGCATGTGATGGTTGCAGATGCTGCAGCATACAATCAGATTAACATTATATATATATGGCATTAGCAAACCGATCTTAATAAACTCATACATATATACATTAAAGTTTCTGTTTTCAGGTGTCATTTGGAGAGGGCAATCAGCTTAAGAACATTAACAGGAAAAGGGTTAGATTATAATTAGAAATGCCACTATGTGTTTCGAAACTAACAAATGTCATTCTGATGACAAAAACTAAAAACCAAACAATAAAAAAGGGATCAGAGCTGCTACTAACCATCATATTGGCCATTTCCACATCTGAAACACTGCATGGCCCATTGTTCTCATCTTCAAGATAGATTGAATCACAGAGTTCATCCCAATTAATAGCTGAGTTCAAAAAGTCTGAATCATCCATCTTATTTGTACCATAATGAAATAATTCATTGTTGGCTTGATGGTAAAATTCTGGTGGAAAATGTGCATGGAGTGGGGAGAATAATTTATCATCCAATGACTCCAACGGTGGGTCATCAAATATGTCAAAGTTCAACAGTGGGTCCTCCTGAAGTAGTTAACATCAAGTATGGTTAAGAAATCAACAAATTCAGTGACTTTAGATCAATAGAGATCATACAAATAAAACATAAAAGGAAAACAAAAAAAAATCAGTTACAGTTAGCCCGTCTAACCTCTGCAGCCGGTACTTCTACAATTTGATACAGTGCATCAGCAGCATTACATGCATCGCTGTAGCAATCAGATGGGGTTATAACGTTGGATATCACTTCCTCAGAGTTCTCAGGGATATCTGGTAGGTGTTTATCATCCTCTGTGGCCGGTGAGGAAGTTACAGGAACCAGATTCAGATCAGACTGTATTTCTTCTGGAGAGTAATTGGCAGTCATAGGAGTTGAGGCAGTCTGCTCGACTTCACAACAGTTTGAATTATTGAGACTCTCATCCTGCTTCTTAAACAAGCGACAGAGAACATACGGGTTCTGGCACAAGTCAAATAAACCAAGTTGAACGGTTAGCAACATATAATTGTTCTCAAAACCGAACCAAACCAGCCCACAAACACACCTTATTCATAAATTGCAGTAGCTTTACATTAACTAGGACAAGATAAAGATTATGAGAAGTTGCATCAGGGTGAAGTATACCTGTCCAGGGTTAGTACCATCAAGCTCCTTCAAAGTAGGCCTATACTCATGCATAACCCAATGGGTCCTCTGCCCCTTGGGAGCACGACCGGCGTAGAAAACAAGAGTCTTCTTCATTCCAATCAACGTCGGTCCAGACTTAATCATCCTATCCTTCCCCGTTGCCTTCCAATAACCATGCTCCGTCGCTCTGTTCAACCTATTCCCATTTGGATACTTCCGATCCTGCGGACAGAAGAAGAACCACTCTGGATCCTTGTTCCTCACAACAGATAAATCTACAATAAACAAAAACCCATAAACCCATCATCAATAAAATCACAATTTTCAGTAAAAAAAAACAGAATCATCCTATCAAATACCATAACATAACCACATGATCTAAACTATTCAGAATTAATTTTCCCCAATTTTCACAAAAGTTAAATCTACAACAAAACCATCAAAACCTAGCATGGAAAATCGGAACACGACCCTGATATTAACACAGCAACACCTGTAATAATATTGAAAAAAATAAATTAATTAAACCGAAACCACAAGTGTCTGTCCAGGTGTCGGACGCCCATACATCACAACCACATCTTAACATCCAAATTAATTTCCCCCAATCTTTCCATACAAAAACTCATTCAGTACTCAAATACACAGAAAGATTAAACAAAAACAAAATTAAACTAAAACCACTGGTTAAAATTAAAAAAATTCTTAATTAACATATCAAACACAAGTAATCACACAATCAAAATGCCGTTGACTATAATTAGAACTACTCCAAATCTCAAAAACAAGAAACCTAAAGTTCAAGAAACAAACAAAAAATCAACTTTACCAGGCAAATCCCAAGGCTCCCATTTACAAACATCAACCTCCCTGATAACCCAAACTTCATCACCGTTCCCGTTGATCTTAAGCCTGAGATAGTAATCAACAAGCTCCTCGTCGGTTGGACGGAACCGGAAACCTAACGGCAGTTTGTTAAGCGATAGAACCGCCATCTCCTCCTCCCGCAGCGGCGGAAAACACTCGACGATGGCACCCATTGTACGGATGATGAAAAGTGAAAGGGAAAGTGAAAAAGGGAAGTTCAGGTGAAAAAGAAAAAGATTTTAGGGATTTTTAAATGGCGTTGAATTGAAATTTTCTATGTTTTTGGTTTATATATATAGAGTAAAAAATGAGTAGAAGTTGCTGAGAAAAAAGGGGTGTGTGTTGAAAACAAGGGAGAGGATGTTACTGGGTGAGTGATGCATTATATAGCAAATAAATTAAATAATTGTTACATGCACTTTATTATATTTATAAAAAGATTCAATAAAGTCACTTTTTTATATTACAATACTAGTATAATATTATTAGTAAAATATATAATAACATACTTAATAATTAATTTAACAAAATTTACTAAATTTATACACGTGATATACGCGGCGTAAAGTATTTAAGTTTATATATATATATATATATATATATATATATATATATATATATATATATATATATATATATATATATATATATATATATATATATATATATTAATTTTTATTTTATATTATAATTATATAATAAAGAAAAAAAGAGTATTTAATATATTTTTTACACTGTAAATCAATTACAAATATATATTTTGATAAATCACATTTTTAATTTTACAATTAAAAATACTAATATGATTTAATTTCATATAATATATATAGAAATATATCTAGTCAAAAATTTTAAAAATATAAAATTGAATACGCGGAATTCATACGGGTTGAAGTATTTAAATATTTTTAATAAAAATATAATATTTAGAAAGATTGTGAAAATTTAAGGGTGGTAAAACGAATTCAGTATGTTCGACATTTTTGTTTTGCCTGCATTTTTTCGCGTGGCAAAATAGGTTCGATTTGTTAAACATTTTTATTTTGTTCGCACTTTTTCACATGTTAGATCAAGATTTTAGACTCGTAACCTATACCGTCTTGTTCGTCCCATTTTTTGAAGATTTTTGCGAGCACAGACACTTACATAAAATTTTACATTTTTAAATCTAAAATATGTAAAGTCTACATGCATTCTTCGTTCCACACTCATTTTTACGAAACAAATACAAATTTTAAGTCCACAATGTTAACTATTCGTCTCGTCCTACTCCACCCTATTTTTTTACAAACTTTTACAAAATGGATCTAAACTGTTTGAACATGTTCATTTGTCACTCCTAAAAAAAATTACTCTAATAATTGCTTTTAAAAATCACTCATTTTAGTGTTTTAGTGGTTCCAAGTGAAGTTAAAAATAATTTTTAATGTCTAAAAACAAATAATTTAATTGCTACACACGGTTTTACAATATCAACCTTCAATTAATTATGATGTTTATTTGACTTTTTCTTTAATCACTTCTAAAGTTTTTTCTATAAATTAATGTTTTAAAAATTAGAGTGATAATCAAATTGGTGAGAGAATTGTGTTAATGATTGATTGGTTCAAATACTAAATTACTTCGCATAAGTAATTCGATTAAATCAAATAACTCGATTGAATAAAATTATCTCTTAATAAAATTTTATAGTTATTAAATAGGTCAGACTAAATGACTTAATTCCTTAAAAAAATCACAATGTCTATCAAATATCAAAATATCTTAATTTAACATGTTTATTCTTTAAATTCAAATTCTAAACATATTTATCATATATAAAAAAAATTGTACAAAATACAAGTCTAAATAAACTTTGGAAAAAAAATCTAATTGCAATATAAACTATATTACAAAATAAATTTATTGTCTAAAAAATTTAATTTTAAGTAGGGAAAGTTGTTGCAAATAAGGTTTGAACGAAGTCTACTTATATTTTTAGTTTATTTTAAAAATAAGATCAAAAAAGCGTCGTTTTGTTGAAGAAGAAAAAACAAACATTTAATCTGTTGATTTTTTAAAAGTGTCGATTCATCGATTTTGATCGATTCTATTTAGATCTCACCAGTTCAATAGTTTTTACCCGCTCTAAAAATTAAACGGATGACTCTTTTGATACTTGATTTGACTGATGCAACCAACCGACTCGAATCAATTTTTAAAACATTACTATAAATAGTTGTGACATAACAATGGTGTAAAATTTTTTACACTCCAATGTGCATGTCAATTAATCTTAAAAGGGAATAGATGAACTTACTTCTTACATGATATTCATTTATGGTTACAAATTTCCTACATAATCATGCAATTAAAAGATATGTATTTTAATTATTAAACAAAATTTAGGTTTAATTAGTGGCGAAGTCCTTTTTATTTTGAAGAAATCAAAATGAATTAATAATAATTGATCTTACCGGTTGATCAGAACCTGCAAGATGGCTTGATTATGATCTTCAGTCGGGTTGTGGTGTCGAGGAGGAAAAAAAGGGGTTGTACCTGCAAGGCACTCTGACGATCAAGTAAGTGTGGGAGCAAAGAGATACAAGCAAAGTATTAGGGTATTAGTGGTGAATAGTGAATATTCGATACTTGACCCTCATATGTGTGAGGGTTTATATAATGCCCCTAGCGCATGGCCATTGGTTCCTATTTTTGGGCTTGGATATGCGGGTCTGCAAAAATAGGCAACTGCCAGGACTTTGTCATATCGGGCAGGTGTGTCTGTAACTAGCCGTTAGATCCGAGGAGGAGGTAGGTTATGGGCAGCGATCTGGTCAGTTCCTGGTTGTCTGTGTGACTTCAGGTCGGGCAGACTGAGAGGTGCTCTTCAATCATTGTGGGTCAGTGTCGGTCCAGGAGGGAAATGGATTGATGTTTCCCAATGGAGAGCGGGGGAGATTCGGGCCATGGTCGCGTGGGTCGTACGAAAGAAGGGGATAGGCTGGGCCCACTCTGGCTGTCGGGTCACTCCAGAACAGTAGCCCTCCAAGTCGTTACTTATGGGCATGGGAGTGATGACTTTAACACCTGCTCGTGGGACGGGGCGCATCGTATGGGGAGCGCGAGCATCGCCCATTGCATTTTTCTCGTGGGGAAATGAAGAGTTAGTCGTTTTGAGCTTTAAACTTGAAGAGGTAGCGTATTTTCGGGTAGCATGCTGACAAAGCGGCGCAATGATGGCCTAGGGGCTAGGGTGTAATGATGACGACCCTAGAATTTCCTAAGTGCGTGTCTCGCACGTACGGATGGTCCCAACTATAAATACGAGAGGAGTAGGGAGTTATGTTTTTCGTTATTTCTCCATACTGCTCGTTGTTGCTCGCCTGTTGACCATCGTAGTTTCTTGAGGTTCATCGCTCGTTGTCGTTCTTTTCGGCCTTCCTTCTTCTTTAACCGGTAAGATTTCAATTTTTCATTGTTATTTGGCTTTTGTAGTTCTGATTTTCATGATTTTCTTCTTAGAAATGCATACGGTTAGGGTTTAGGATCCTGTTTGTTAGGGGGTTTCTGGGGAGTGTTAGTGGAAGACGGTGGTTCTGTAGTTTAGAATCGCCAGAGCCGCCGTGGATCCTCCCCGTACATTTCTCGTCGTGTCGTGGATGGTCCTTTTGGGATCTAGGTTGTTTCACTGGACTTTTCTCATTGTTTCATAGATGGTCCTTTAGGGCCTAGGGCTCTTCCCTATACTTATGTATGTTTATGCGCCTTAGTGAGAGTTCTGGTCGAGGACACGATCCTCATTTATCAGCGCCCTTTCACTTGATTAGTGGTGGAAGGATGATTTTGGCATTGATGTCGAACTCATCTTCGTCCTATTCTTTTCAGGTACTATGGCCGACAACGTCGGATTTGACCTCTCGAGAGAATCTTTTGGATCTTAACAAAGTTCTTTGGACGAGGCGAGTAGCTCATCGAGCATTTTGGAGATTTCTGGGGATGAGCTGGATCATCCCGAACAATAAGTGGGGAGAGGTGATGTGGAGATGGCATCTGCTGATCAAGGTGGCCTATTTCCCCCCGAGGATGATGAGGATTTGTAGGCTTAGGTCGCGAATGATCCTTGGAACTGGCCCTCCTACTTTTTTGAGCATCAGGATGACGTCTTTATCGAGGTGTACGCACATGAGGATGGAAACCGGGGAGATTGATCATTGTATATTCCTGGAAAAGAGAGCAGGATCTGCTTGAAATACAACAAACAGCGGGTTCCCATGTACGACATCGTGTTCTCAGAAATGGGTCTTCGGCTTCCTTTCTCGAATTTTGAGGTGGCTGTATTCAAGCATCTTCGACTGGCTCCCTCCCAATTGCACCCGAACGGCATTACATTCATGCGAGCATTCGAGATCGTTTGTGATTACACGAAGATAGGGGCTACCATTCCCTTGTTCTTCTATTGCTTCCATCTCCAGAAGAGCAAGATCGACGGCAAATGGGGATGGGTCTCTTTGAAGCAAGGCAACGAGAAGCTGTTCAAATCTTACCTGGAGTCTGTCTGTCACTTCAAGGATAAATATATATATTGGTGCAGCCTTGCTTGAGCAAGGCGATGCTAAATGTTTCAGGACCATACCGGTGTGTAACGAGGATGGTGTCGCCTGTTTGAACGAGTTGGGAGACCATGTGGTCAAACTGGTTTACAAGTTATCGTTCCAGTGAATGAGGAAGCACTTCGATAACAAATTGGGTTCCTACATTTGGAGGAAGGGGAGCTCGGCATCGAGGACCAGGAGCGCTTCGCCATCTTGACTGCCTTCATGGCCCGAAACCCTCGGGTCCAGCGAGTGGGCCGGGGAGGCAATCCTGTGATCGCCAAGAACGGGGAGGCTGTATATGAGCCTGGCCTTATAATCGTCAAGGAGCTCCTCGAGGGCGAGGATCCCGTCAAGTATTTGGGTATTTATGTTTTGAATAGTTATATGCGATCGTCGCTTTTTTGAATCCTCGTTTGCTAACTACGATTCTTTTTTTTTTGCAGATAGCATGAATCCCGCCCAAGAGCGTATAGCCAGGACTCTTGTCGCTAGAGCAAACAAGGCTCAGAAGGACGCCCAAACTGGCTCGGGGGTCACTCCTACTTCAGGGTCGAGTGATTCATCTTCAGGCCAAGCTACGGTTGCTCTGTCTCCTA